CTATGGGCAGCTGTACACATCATCGTTGGAGCCACACTCAAGTGTGAGTAACGATCCAAGAGCAAGTCTTATCCGACACTATTCCGATGATATCCCGGACGTCAGTCTGAGCGAGATTAGAATGGCTCTCCAACACCTTAAAAACGGCAAGGCCCCGGGCGAGGATGGAATTACAGCGGAGCTTCTGAAAGCGGGTGGAACACCGGTACTTGAAGTCCTTCAGAAGCTCTTCAATTCCGTCCTCCATGGTGGCACTACTCCAGAGGCGTGGAGCAGAAGTGCGGTGGTCTTGTTCTTTAAGAAAGGCGACAACGCTCTCTTGAAGAACTACAGACCGATTTCCCTTCTGAGCCGCGTCTACGTGCTGTTTTCGAGAGTCATTACGAATCGTCTCGCACGCAGACTCGACGACTTCCAGCCTCCCGAACAAGCCGGTTTCCGAAAAGGCTTCAGTACCATAGACCACATACATACCCTACGGCAGATTGTACAGAAGACTGAAGAGTACAATTTGCCACTTTGCCTGGCGTATGTGGACTATGAGAAAGCCTTTGATTCCGTCGAAATTTGGGCGGTGCTGCAGTCCCTTCAGCGGTGCCAAGTTGACTGTCGGTATATCGAAGTGCTGAAGTGTTTGTACAGTAGGGCTACGATGGCTATCCGAGTACAGAACCAGAGCTCGAAACCTATCCAACTGCAGAGAGGTGTAAGACAGGGTGACGTTATATCCCCGAAACTCTTCACCGCTGCTTTGGAAGACGTTTTCAAGCTACTGGACTGGAAAGGATACGGTATTAACATCAATGGCGAGTACATCACTCACCTTCGATTTGCCGACGATATAGTCCTTATGGCAGAATCGCTGGAGGACCTTAGCACTATGCTCAATGACCTCAATGGTGTCTCCCAACGGATAGGTCTTAAGATGAACATGGACAAAACAAAGATTATGTTCAATGTCCATGTCACACCTATGCCGGCAGTTGTGGGGAGCACTATGCTCGAAGTTGTTGACGAGTACGTTTACCTGGGACAAATAGTCCGACTAGGTAAGTCCAACTTCGACCGAGAGGTCAATCGACGGATTCAACTCGGCTGGGCAGCGTTCGGGAAATTACGACACATCTTCTCGTCAGGTATACCTCAATCTCTGAAAACTAAAGTGTACAACCAGTGCGTGTTGCCAGTGATGACTTACGGATCAGAGACGTGGTCCTTCACTGCTGGCCGTATGAGGACGCTCAAGGTCGCTCAGCGAGCTATGGAGAGGGCTATGCTCGGAGTTTATCTGCGCGATAGACTCAGAAATGAGGATATCCGCAGTAGAACCAGAGTGACCGACATAGCCCAACGGATTAGTAAGCTGAAGTGGCAATGGGCCGGCCATATAGCTCGAAGAACCGATAACCGATGGGGAAGAAAGGTTCTCGAGTGGCAGCCTCGTACCGGTAGGCGTAGTGTAGGGCGACCCCCCACTAGATGGAGTGACGACCTGGTAAGATATGCAGGAAGTCGATGGATGCAGGTGGCTCAGGACCGTGCTTTGTGGCATTACTTGGGGGAGGCCTATGTTCAGCAGTGGACTTGTGAAGGGCTGTAATGATGATGATGATGATGAGTAGGTCTGCAATTAGTATAGTAGGTCACAAACTTAGTAGTAGTAGCAGAGGAAAAGAGGTTTCAGGTTTGAAAGTTTGTATAACATGCTCACCATGTTCATTATCATCATCTGCTTATGGCAGTCCACTGCTGGACATAGGCCTCTCTCAAGTGATGCCACCTAGCCCTATCTTCGGCTTCATGCATCCAGTTGCTGCCAGCTGTCTTGCGCAGGTAGTTGCTTGCTCCCACACAAGGGCGTTCCACACTGCGTTTACCTAAGCACGGTCCTCACTCTATGATACGTCTACTCCAAAGGCTATCGCTTTTACGACTATGTGACCAACTTTAAATAGATAAAGCTCCAGGTGCACTGTTTCGAGGACGAAGGAATTTTGATTATTAAAATAGAATACTGCACAGCCTGTAACTTGACAGGCTTTCTGTACTCTTTAGACATGAACACAGCAGAGCAGGTATATTGCTGTTAGGCTCCAGAAATTGTTGTAAGGGTGGTACTCATCCAGAGAACTCCTCGGTAGATTCCTAGCAATTTATATACTATGTTTAGAATTGATTGCAAATTCAAGTGCAGTCATTATCAGTTCGACACTAAGCTCATATTTCTTTATAGAATAGGCAAGGGTGACAAACGAGCACACAGTTCACCTGATGGTAAGTAGATGCTGTGGTCCAAAGACATCTACATCTATCTTCGATTAAGAATCAAAATGCAGATGCGTGTGCGAATGCGAATGCGATGCGACCCCTGAGGAACTAAGATGAAATGCCTCTTTACCAGTGAAAAGGTTTTACGGTACATTTACCTTAATATGTATAGATATTTAATAAACTAGTTTTTTAATTATTAAATTTTACTACATTATTAACCGCAGATAAAGTCCCAAATACATTTATTTAACAGAGAATAACAACACTCACTTGTTATTTTTATTGCCTTACCAGTTATAGCAATATACGGAAGTTGTAAAACACGGTTGCCTTCGGCGTTCGCGCCCCCCGCGTAGGCGTTTTGTATTCGGTAATTGGATCCGGTTAATAGGGGATGCCCCGGTCATAGCCCGCGGCTGATGTGTTATTGTGCAGTGATTTATGTTGTCTATGTCGGTGACACTCGCCCGAGGCGTGTGGTGACGCCCTAACTCGGTCGTGTGGCGAGTGTTGTGGTGTAATAATTTGTTGTGATCTATGGATTTTTGCTGTCTCTTTCTATTAGTATCAATTCTTAAACATAATAAGGTTAATTTGTGAATGTCAAACAAAATAAGGCTATACTATTTATACCGAGCGTGGTTATTTACAATGGATACCTTCGCACATTGGCTTAGAGGGTAATGAAAAAGCTGATTATTTAACCAAACAAGCTATTTCGGTAGGCACTGATTTTGATACTATCCCTTAACTTCAAAATTGTATGCCTTTATTAAAAAAATATTGGTTTGATTTCTGGAAAGAATATTTTGACGAAAAAGCAAAACATAATATGGTAGGCAACGTACGATCCAGTCGTACCCAATGCGCTTCACCGAATATATTATGTAGACGCGACACTGTAATAGCATTAAGACTCAGATCTGGGCACATTCCAAGCAATAAATTTTTATACTTGATGCGAAAAACTACCTCACCTAATAGTTCAACTTGTAATGTTATCGATGATGTTTATCACATTTTAATAGAATGTGACCAGAACTCCAAAGAAAGAAAAAATTGTAATTTACATTTGTCATTGATTGGCATTTTATCAGACCCGTTATCAGATGATGCCAAAAAGCTTTATATGTTAGTAAATAAGAGATTAAGTTAATAAATTGATTTGTTAGTATTTATCGTATTTAAGAATTTTGTTGTAAATACCGGGGCATCATAAACGCATCAGGGACAAAACCCTTTTTTAATTTAAAAAAAAATAATTTCTTGCAGAAATAACTTTTTCTTTTTCCCTGTAAAAGCAGATACGATAAGACAAAAATTAAGACATTTAACACTAAATAGAATTGGTTACATAAAATAATTATCCATGAGTAATGTTGAAAATAAAAATAATAAACGAATTTTCTAAATCACATGCAGATTTATCATGCTACAAGTTTAAGAGGCACAGACATATAATATAGTAAATATGTCTTAGCTTTTTTGTCTAAGAAGATATTGAGATGATTTTGTAATTTTGTACTCTTGCAATTAACGACGTGGTAGAGCCATACTGCAGCTATATTAATTGTATATAATATGCTATAATATTATATAATAAGAGTTGTAGCACGAATGGGTCGGCTCGTCCGGGAAAGGATGACGCTCTCACAGAATACCAGCGTAAAATAGCAGCTTAATGCTGCTGTGTTTCGTATGGTGAGTTTAGAGAACCATAGACTCTTTTTACTACAAAAAGGCAATCCATCTTAGTCCTCTCTTTGTTTGCGCATCAAAACGCATCTGCATTTTGATGCGCAAACAAAGATAGATGTAGATGTGTATGAACCATAGCAACCACTTTCCATCAGGTAGACTATGTGCTCGCTTGTCACTCTTATCCCATAAAAAACTAATTAAATAACAAAATTTACTTGATTAAGTTAAACTAGTATTGTAAGCGGATATTGTAAATGCCTTTAATTGAATGTTGTGAATACCCTCAATTTGCTATTTACATCACAACCTTTAAAAGTATGATATCTCGTATATATTACTATCTATGTATGCCTTACAAATAAATAAATGTGAATAATTTACCGCTTCGGCTACCTGAACTAAATTATTATACGACACGACAATAGTCAAATGGTGAATTGGTGCCGCAATTTGTCAGATTTTAGAGCTACATAATAGAGATTAACCTATCATCATTTGAACTATTCTTACATAAGATGTCGTAATACGTTCAAAATACATACTGCTACAAGTTTAAAGAGGCCCAGACTTATAATAAAGTGAAGATTAATTAGCTTTCTATTTAAATTTTATTATTTTTTATCTAAGGAGATATTGATATGATTTCTTAATTTTGTACTCTTGCAATTAAATATTAACATTTACCTACTTAGTTTAAGTTAAACTAGTGTTTTAGCCAATGTTGTATATGCCTTTAATTGGAATGTTGTGTATACCTTTAAATATAGATATATAGACACACACACACACACATATACATTAAATACACATATAAATTAATAAAAATTAATGTGAAGAATTTATATATATATATATATATATATATATATTAATTAATGTGAATAATTTACCGCTTCCAGTATCTATCTGAACTAAATTATTACGAGTGACGACAGTTAGTCAAGTGAAGAGCTAGTACCGTAATTCGTTGGACTTTAGAAACTCACAGAGAATAATTGATCATCATTTGAACCATTCATTTCTCTTACCTGCGTTGGCGTCAGGTGGATGAGTGAGGCTAGATGCTCCCGCTCTGGCGCTGACAGGTATTTTTGTTGCTTGAACCGTCGCTCCAGTTCATACACCTGAACAAAACAAACTGTATCTATATTTCCGTGTAGTACAATAGAATTATTTTTATTCAATATAGATTACTAGAACACTTATTAGTCATTTAAGATTTAGGTACCAGAGGTTCAAAAAAAACATCCTGAAGAAGCAGCAAGAAACTCAACGGATCTTTAATATAATCTCTATATATAAAAATTTTAAATCAATTTTTGTCCATTCGTCTCACAAAAATTCGAAAATGGCTCGACCGATTTTGGTGAAGTTTTTGGTGTGTTTGCGTCCCCTGGTCCCTTGGTTGTCCCTTCTCTGTGGGTGGATTAGTCACGATTGGATGGTATGTGAATAAGTTCCTGGCCATCCAGAGGTTGGCTGCAAGAGATAGTTTTTTTTAAGGCCGCCATTGTACAATAAATTTAATACACTATTTTCTTTTCTGTAAATTGTTATGGTGTACAATAAAGTTGTATTTAATATACATGTAGTACCTGGATGACCGAGCTTTGCTCGGAATGTTGTTTGAAAATCGTGTTTTTAGTAAATTATATTTAGATGCAAATTACATACTGATGAAATATGAATAAAATTATACCTTCTCGATCATAATTTTCGTGTTTAAAAAAATATACTAAAAAAAGGGCTCCAAATAATATATTTTCTCACAAAAGTAGGAACTTGAAAAAAAGGAAAAACGAGTCTAACCGGAGCCATTTGGACTCGAACCGGCGTTCTACGATTTTAGGACCGCCCGATATCCCATTTGAACTGTTATAACCTTTTGCAAAATTTAATTTCGTATTCCGATGATATTGTAGCATTTTTCATTGCCTAAAAACGTGGATAAAACAACATTTTCTAAAAATGAGTCCTAGCTAGATCGATTTATTGTGTATATATATACCTACAAGAGTTGCTCGTTTAAAGGTATTGATGATGTAACTATGTACCTATGTAAGAATATTATATAGATATGCGAAACACGGATTTGGCTCCGCGACAGACGCTTCCTTTCTCCGAAACTTTCATAAAAATGCAAGAAAGGCTGTGTGTAAATTAAATCTCAACCTAAGTATACAACTACAATACTTTAAGATACTATAAATTCAAATTACGTAAATCGGACGAAAAATTAATAATTTTAATCTGAAGATAGGTGTGGTTAACTATGACATTGGGACGTCGAACAACTCTGTTCCCCCGTGACCATGGGTGCTCTAAAGTACTCCGAACGTCGGGAATACAATATGAGTTAAAATACGCGATAAAATCTGTAAAAACTAGTTTTATTTAAAAGGCTGTGGCTACCAATGGAACATAGCTTGTACTGCATTTTTTACTAATTTTGTCAAGAGACGATAAGCTATACATTATAATAATTATAGCGATCATTGCAGAAACCTAAGCGTATTGCACACAGATACATTTACGCACACAAACACCTCGATAAAGCTCGACTAGCAACGAGAAATTTCCCGGAATAGAATTAATTACATGAGCCGGATAACATAGGTCGTATATCTGACTTCACCCCCGAGAGGCGGGGCTTGGGGCGGAAGTGGGAGGGACCGGTGGAGGTTAACCGTATCCCCTTTCGAAATTAAATAGCTACGTTAGCGTTATATGGCTCAGGTAACGCCAGGAATGTCTAATTACTTATAGGTATATCATTGAAGTATATGTTCCGAGGGGTGTCGCCGGCTTCTTGATCTTTCGTTTTCTTGATTTTGAGGGCGTCGTTTGATGTTTTGCCGTTCATCGATTGTGAAGGGTGCTGACTATTGGATTATAGTAATTTTATGCAGTTCTACGGCTTGATAATATTACAATATCATTTTATGCGTTACTTGATGCGTTAATCACTTTGTACGGTGTATTAAATTTAACACATTATTGACTTCTGTGTAAGTTAACTAACATACATATTTAAACGTGGTAGAGCCACGCTGCACCTATACTATGGTTGTATCACGAATGGGGACCGGGGAAGGACCACGCTCTCACAGAATACCAGCGTAAAATAGCAGCTTAATATTGCTGTGTTTCTTATGGTGAGTGTAGAGAACCGGATATCCGTTTTACTTGAATCGTGTCATTCTATGTATCTTAATCCTCAGGGGCGTTACAGTAAATAAGTAAAAAGAACTTTCAATATTTGACGGCTCCATTGCGCAGTGGCTTAGCAATCAGATGCGGCGCTGAGGGCCGCGGGTTCGAATCCCGAACGGAACAATCGCTTGTATGGCCTACAGATAATTGTTTCGGGTCTGGATGTTTGTCCTTGTAAAAATTGTGTATGTAAACTACCTTCACGATACACGAGAAAAATATAGTGTGTAGTTGTGTTGGTAATGTTATTGCTTGAACATTTTGAAATTGAAAAAATATTTATAATTTTAATAATCTATATGGATACCATTTAAGTCATCCATTACCTACAGCCCATAAAAGCCTCTCCCATAGTCAGCCTCGTAGGCGGGATTTTGCTATATTTTTTTTTGCATACCTGCCAGGCGGGTTGGAATTCTATGTTATGGTTTCTTTTTACAGTCCACCTGATGGTTGCTGTGGCCCATAGACATCTATCTTCGATTACGAATCAAAATGCAGATGCATTGTCACCAGTGAGGACTAAGATGGAATGCCTCGTTTCCAGTAAAAAAGGTCTCCGGTTCTTTACACTCGCCATACGAACACAGCAGCATTAAGCTACTATTTTACTCTGGTATTCTATGAAAGTGTGGTCCTTCCCAGTTCGCGCCGACCCATTTGTGTTACAACTACACTACTAATATAACTGCAGCACGGCTCTACCACGTATAAAACTAGTTGCAACTAACATTTGTATTAAAAAGTTGTTCCAACTAGTTATTGTCATTGTACCTTTGCTTCTGATTATGCATCATTGCTATTTCTGATCTTATCGCGTAGGACTTACGTCATATAATCAATTATAATGTACTCCCGACCGAATTGCGGTTGATGTAGCCAGTCTAGCAGAGTTTAGCCATCTGCGGTGCACTGAGTTATAGTGCACGAGTGTGTGCCTGAGTACAGGTGCATAATATCTATTCCCGGATTCTCATAGCCCAATGGAACGGGACATCATTGAAAGCCCACAAATCTGCAATGGCCTATCATATAGATTGTCACATTCGAGGGATATTTACACGTAGTAGAGGCTCCTGGAAATGTCACTCGCAGGAACAGCTATATTACGCTTGTAGCATGAATGGGTCGGTGCGACCGGAGAAGGACCACGCTCTCACAGAATACCAGCGTGAAATAGCAGCTTAATGCTGCTGTGTTTCGTATGGTGAAGGTAGAGAACCGAAGACCCTTTTTACTGGAAACGAGGCATTCATCTTAGTCCTCAAGGTAAACAACGCATCTGCGTTTTGATTATTAATTGAGGTTATAAACGAGCACACGCATCTTGTTTCAGATAGTAAATGGATTCCGATGTCCATAGACATCTACATATTATGCCATCGATTAAAAATCATAATGTCGATGCATTTTCACCACTAAGAACTAAGATGGCCTCAAAAAAAGTCTCTGGTTTTCTACCCCCACCATAAGAAACACAGTAACTTGCTATTTTACGCTGGCATTCTATATGAGCGTGGTCGTGCCCCGGTCGAGTCGACCCATTCATGATAAAACCGTAATATAGCTGGAGTGGAGCGTGGCAACGTGACCACGTGGAAGAGTTAATTCTTACCCCGTATCCGCCGATAATTTATCCGATACCGCCATCTACATCTGAGCCAAGACTATAACCAGACATCCATAATAAGATCTTCGAGGCCTTTTCTTAATTTACCTCCGACCACACCCGCGGGATAAAATTCTGTCTATTATGCTGCTACCTCAAGGCGAGTAATTAATTTATTTTTTGCTATTTTTTATTATAGAACTCGAATCAAATGAGAATAATATATATCCAAACATTATTTCATACGGGCAAATAAAACTTCGGGTTGACGCGATCACAAAATCTCCCCTTGCCGTAAAGCCGGCTATTAACTACACTGTTACTCGTAACTGGTATTTTAGTACCCTCAAGAGAGTGTGCACTGTGTACTCTACCACTGCGTCAACCTATTGGCAGCTTCGTAGCATCGTAGGTTCGAATTCACGACATTGGTATAATTGGTACAATTTTTATTGTTTTAAAATAACGGCATTTTAAGTAAAAAGAAGTTAGGAGCCAGGAAAGATTTCGGCCTCCCTAAATTTTCAAAAAATTTTGTTTAAATTTTGTGAACTTCTTCGTTGCAGAACAAGGTTATTACATAGATTTTAGTAGAAAGTAATAAAAATTAAAAAATCGAAATCAAGTCAGATATGTTCCAGGAGTAGAAAGCCTTAAATAACACCAGGTAACCACCCCATTCGTATTTTATTTGTAAAATGATCGGCAAATAATTCACCCCCGTGTCTGGAGGGTTGGCAAACAAAGTGAGCGGAGTTTAAGGGTTAAGTGAACAAAAGTTTAGACAGGGTGCGTGATGTTAATATTAATCATTTCTGCAACTGCGAAACAAGATCGAGATAAGCTTCGTATACCTATGTGTTCTAAAACGATTTATAATGGGTGCGTTTGGCAGAAAAAAGCGCTAGCAAGCGCTTACTAGCGCTGAAATAGTTTTCGGCCAGGACACGATTGCTATTTCAGTAGCGCTGACACAATCCGCCATTTTGCTTATTTAATTTGTTTGTTTTGAATTAGAGTTTATAAGTTGTTTTTAGCAATATTAGTTTTAAGTAATATAGACATGAATAGACATATACTTATTATAAATTCATGATTGGTAAGTTTTTAATATGAATACTTTACAAACATATATTTAAATTAGGTTAGGTTCCCCGGTTAAAACTAGCATCGTGTCCTAGAGGAAAATAGCTACTTACGATTTGACAGCGCTTACCGCTTACGATCGCCATTTTGCTTACAAGCGCTTGCTAGCGCTATTTCTGCCAAACGCACCCAATGTCTTTAAAAGTTTGTAATGATATGTGGCCCAAATATTTAGACCCACAAATATTTATACCCCAGAAAATATGCAGGACATATCTATCTAAAACTTTAAAATTTTTATCAGGCAATAATTATTTAATATCTAATAATATACCACTAAATAAAAAAGAGGATGTTTGTACCTATATATGAAATCGTTTAACTCAAAACCTATTTGATGATCTATTTTTCAATTGAGACGGTTTATATTTATAAACTAAAAAAATGAAAAAAAATTGAAAAATTTTTAGAAACAAATATTTCTTTTAAATATTAGATTGTATTTGCTTTTTTTCAATCAAGCGCGGAAATTAATAAATTAAATGGCATGCGCTAAAATGTTTTATACGTTGCTGAACACAATCTATGTGGTCGTCGACCTACGTCTACCGGGTTCAGTTAGTTAGTACTACTAAAGATTTGATTAATAATAATTGGGGATGATCGCCACCACGCTGTTTCTAATTGTTTTCATAGATGATTGTATAAAATATTATATTGTAAATTAATTTAAAAAAAAACAGTCCAGTTGGTTTTCTTAATGATTCTCCCTAGGACATAGGATTTTTCCGAACTAATGGTAAAGCTTAAATAATTTTGATAAGGATTCTTGTAATCTGTATTGGATTAAAATGATTTTTTTCTATTCAATAAGAATTATTCTAGCTTTTTATCGAAATCCATATATTTCATATATAGTGGTATCAGCCATTATTGAAGATGCACTTTTGCCATCTTTTTTTAGAAGTTGACTGATTCCTCGGTTATTAAAATCCTAGGGACGGGAATAGGTGAATTATTTAAAAGCGTTTTACATCGTTACTAGCTTTCGGCTTAATTAGTTTTTCCTTTGAGGCCGCGAGCCCTGAGTCAGATGAAACTATAAGAGCCTTATAGGCAAAAGGCAAGGTTAACAGCACTAATATCACAGAATAAAGATTGGAATTGTAATATTTCTTCACACGTCTGTATAACATTGTTACCATGACGAAATTCGTATTCGAAAATAATCTGAATTTTCAATTCTTCCGTGTTCGCAGGACAAAGTGATAACAAGGAAAATCGGCGGAAATATGTACAGATTTTAATAAAAATGTAATTTTTCTTTATTAAAATATTAATTCGAATATGGAACTCAAGTCAAATGCAATATATCGAACTTCAAATTAGTTGGATTTAAAAATTAACAATTAGATATTAGACACGTTAGTCAAATGAAATACTTTTTAACGGTTTGTCAAAATAAATATTTCCATAAAAATTTAATGAAGTTATTCAAAAGAACATAATATTTTTATTTGTTGACTTGTTGTTAGGAGCCGTGATAGCTCAGATGGTTAACGCTCGCTGTAAATTTAACAGAACGCGAGTAATCCGTGTTCGATCCCCGCCGGCACAAATGAAATTGTTAATTGCAATTTTAAGTGCTGATTTACCACGTGCTCGGCGGTGAAGGAAAACATCGTGAGGAAACCTGCATGTCTGAGGAATAAGAAAAAAATATTTCGAAGACATGTGAAGTTTGCCAACACGCATTGGGGCAGCGCGGCGGACATTTCCTTGCCCTAAAACCCTCTCATAAAAGATGGGATGCCTGTGCCCAGCAATGGGACGTATATAGGCTGTATCTTTACTATATGAGAAATGCATATTGACCGAGAAATTGCACGTTAAAGAAAGAGAACTAAAGAAAGAGCTAAAGCAACGATTGACGCTATCTTTTATATATTTTTGATAACTTTTTTAAAAAAATTCAATACTTTAAGATAAATCATAAAATGTTGAACAATATTACTGTATTTTTCGTCATCGTCCTATCGAGTAAGTGTTGTTGGACACTTAACAATATAATATTATGTTAATAGTGGACCGCCATCTCCACTATTACAGTGGAGATGGACCCCTGCTCAGACCGGAGGTCGATAGTGCAGCCTCGTTGTCGACGAATGTGCAAGTGCCAGGAGATTGCTTTGTAGTCTGCGGTGAGTCGAGAAGAAGGCAAGTAATCTGCGAGAGTGCCGTGAAGCAGAGGCGAGCAGTAAGGCTCAGAGCCGTGCCGAACACTGTATAGCGCAGAGAGTAGCTTGAAGGAACAGGAAGCATTATTATTCCAGTGCTGCGATGAACCTTGTGAAGCTAGATGGCTTGCAGGATATGAAGACTGCAGACGATATCTGCTCGGGAGCGAATGGGTGGGCTATTCTATGACGATGATGAAGCTTGAAGTTTCCGAAGGTTGTTGTTTGCGTGTTCAGATCACGTCGGGGTCACCACTGTGGCCGAAGTTGGAAAAGGGGAGATCTCCCGCCGGGCAAGGTGTTCTGCCCGGGGAGCAGCCAACGCTCCGTGTGATAGTTCGGAGAAGTTCTATATATACTGTCTATGATTCGGAATGTTGATAGCGTGATTTAAGCTTCGGTGTATTTCGCTTGTGGCGCGACGACAGCGCCGCTACAACTAAAAATTTAATTTACTTGAAATGGAAAATCAGTCGCGTTTTAAAATACTAAAAGTTAAAGTTCATACAGTAATAGCCTATAATGTATACGTCCCACAGCTGGGCTCAGGCCACCGCGCTGCCCAATGGGCCAATGCGAGTCGGCGGACTTCACAATGACTTCACATGTCCTCGTGCTAAATCGGCATTTAAAATTGCTATTGACAATTTTATTGGTGCTGATGGGAATCGGACCTAGGTTGCTTGCGCACTGTAAAATGTACCATATAAAAACAAATAAAAAAAAAACAACTGTCATGATAAGTTTACCTGCGCCTGCGTGAACAGCACCCTTCTTTTCCTCCGCTGTGCAAGCGGGAACTGCATGGGTTTGGCGTCGGGCCCCGCGCACGCTGCGAGCCCGCCCATGTTGTTCACGTGGCCCATGCCACCGGACGTCGAGGTCATCAGCCTGGAAACTGAAGCAGCCGCTCAGGTACGCACAACTTTAGCCTACTACTGTGGAATTGAACAGAAATATCATCTATATAATATACAAGCATCAGGGGTTGTTCCAAAATCCTTTCTTAGTGGGCGTTTACGTTGAGAAAGGAGTACATATGCAAAATTTTAAGTCGATCGGGCGTATAGTTTTGTAGATCTATATATATATACAAAATCAAGTATCGTGCGTCTCGTAATAGCTCGATAATGGCTCGACTGATTTTAGGTTAGGTGTTATAATTCAAAGGTGGTCCCATAGAATACTATAACACATACATAATAGAACGGGAGTGTGGGCGGAACCCGTGTAGCCACAAACATGTCAATTCACACCTATAAATGTCAACACAACCAAGCGTTTCCAATTTTCGTGTCAAGCGTCACTGCATGCAAATTATTTAAAAAATGGCAAATTGTGCAATAATTACGTGTCGAAAGAACAGTGGGAAATAAGGAGACATATCCTACAACCAGTAAGTCGAAACTATTTATATTTTGTGAATATTAAGAAAAAAAATAAAGAAATATTGATGTGTCAAAAACAATAATCAAAAGTCTAAAATATGTAAATTCGATCAGTGTGTCGAGTGTCAAGACAGCGAATCGGGTTTGTAGTAGTGATAATACCACGTGATTGCTTGTACACATGCTCCCGGCGACGCCGATCCTCGTACAAAATAAGGTTAAAAGTCATTCTATTGTGTATTATAGTGTAGTATATGTGTATTCTATAAGTGGTTCCATATAAATTAGGAGAAAAAATTGGTTGTCTGTAAAGTCGGTTTACGGACAATAGCTTAACTTGACAGCGTCATAACAAAACATTGATGGAATGATTGCATACTTTTATGTATAAAATTGAATCATCACTATTTTGTTTGGATACAAACAAGGAATGAAATGAAATTTACAATTTAATCGATATATTTACTTTTACACTCAAGCCGATCGTGCCTTTCGCTCGCTCGTGCAGCGGTCTCGCTCCGATCGTGACGTTACAATGAGCGTAACGTTAAAATGAGTCATCCTTTTTCGTGTGTGCAGCCGGCGTTCATCGATTTATTAGACATTGTCACGTCAAAAATTTCACCCACAAGGGTAGCAAACAGGGATGAAATTTTTAAAGTCATTATTTATACGATGTTAATATTGTGATATTCATTAGTCAACTGCAAAACGTAAAAAATACTTTAAAATTAAAGTAAAGGCCGTCTTCAAACGACTAAAAAAAGAATAATTGCAAATTCCGATGTTTTTTTATTAGTTCAGATTTATTCTTCTAATCACTATGAAAAATGAAAAATGTTTTAATAACAGAAAATAACAAGGTAAGGTAATATTTCTTGGTTCCCGCACTATTCGAGCCTGTACTATTGAGGAAACTTGAGACCTAAGTTCGTTAAACGTTATTATATACACCTTATCAGACAGACTGTATTAACATAACACACAAAACAGCAATAATAGAACTGCTAATTGCTCCTCGGTTACGAATCAAAATGCAGATGCGTTGTCACCCGTGAGGACTAAGATGGAATGCCTCGTTTCCAGTAAAAAGGGTCTCTGGTACTCTGCACTCACCAGCGTCAGGCTGCTGTTTCACTCTGGTATTCTATGATAGCGTGGTCCTTCCCAGGTCGAGCCGACCGTTCGTGCTGTACCCATTCGTACCATACCAGGCCGTTTTTTTGGTGTAGCGTCTACAAATAATGGTCGATTTAATAAAAATCTGGCATGTTGTAAGTATTTTCTATATTATGTAAATATCAGTGATAGGACAAAGGTAGGGTATAAAGGCACCTACTTTAATTCAGTATGTTTTAGCTGCTCCGCACTAAGAAAATGTACAGTAACTCAGTATTGACTGGCGAAGAGCTTTACTGACTCATCTAATTACTTATCTATCACCAACATGACGAAGTACCTAAATAAGAGATAGCTTTAGAACCATGGTTGCTAACAAAATAGTATGTGACTAAATGAATCAGCGGCTTCTCTCTTGGATCTAGTTTCACGCACATAAAAGTATGAATGGGAATCAGGGAAATATATGTACAAAGTTACCATCATTTAATGGACAATATCATGTATTTCCTTTGATTATATACATGTCATGACATGTATATAATCAAAGTGATTTAAGTCTACATTCAAGATTAGAAAATTATCGGAAGGTCACATATATATGATTTACACATACATATGATTTCTTGACCAGATTAAGCGTGTCTGAAAATATTGATTTGTAACAACATACATAAACTCTAACGCCTAACTAACTAGGGCTATGTCGTGTCAAATTATGAACACAAGTTGTGAAATGTGTGAATTGCTTGCTAATTCTTTAATAAGGCATAAAATACTTCTTCTTGTTAAGTGTAAAGTTCGCCGTGAGTAATGCGTCTCGGTTACAAATTTAGTTTTCTGTAAGTCCCTTTGCTGAGCTTTATTGCTAATAATTGCCAGAGAGTGGCCATTTCAGTATAGCCCAGCGTCACAGTTAATTTAAAGGCGGCTTTTTAAAAGGGTTTTAAAGGGGACGCTTACTTATAGTCTATTTTAATATAAAAAATGTTTTGTAAAACAAAATAATTTGCATTAAAATAACTATACATCTCAATATTCCAGCGGCTAAAATTGAATAAAATTCATAAAAACTTGAAACAAAAATGATCTCAGAACACAAAAATTATACACAGATGTTCAAAGCAATGACGCCTTCAGATAAAATGTAATAGCATAGACAGAGGTAAAAAAATTATGATGGAAAATGATGATAACTTAAAGTGAAATTTTACAATTTTAATTACATTGTCACAAACGTCCCAGCGCGTCCCATTATCATTACATAAAAAAAGGAATTAATAACGACATGAAAAAATTAAACTCCTCGCTCTGGCTACGCTTAAGTGTCAGCCCGCCATTTTCGCTAATGACACTAGACATTTCCCGCGCAACGAACGTTGCAGAGCTTTATTTTTCACAGATTAAAATAGCGTTTTTTATATTGAAATTGGAGTATAAGGTTATTTATTCAGAAAACTTAAAATAAATAATTTTTTATAAATATTATGTGTATTAAAGCTTTTAAAATAAATAATATACTAAGCCGGGCCGTGAAAAGTAGAGTGAAGGAAATTTTCTTATTTATAAAAGAAAACGCGTTAAAGTCATATCAATTTTGCATACGGGTGACGTTTTTCCAACCGATTTCAGTTGTGGCAATAATTTCGGTACAATATTTCTGCAGGGCTGGGTACGCTTTTTACTTCAAATCATGTTTATTTAAACTCTTAAGTTAACTATATTCCACCTCAGAATACGCCCTTGTTTTACATTTCGTACATTTAATGTCAATGAAGTTTAACGTTTATCAGAGACAGTTACTTTTTTATAGCGTTGGGTGACAAACGAGCACACAGTCCACCTGATGGTAAGTGAATGCTGTGGCCCTTAGACATCCACATTTATCTTCAACTAAGGATCAAAATGCAAATGAGTTGTCGCCCCCTGAAGACTAAGACGAAGTCCCTCGATTCCAGTAAAAAAGATCACCGGTTCTCTACACTCACCATACGTAACACCGCAGCATTACGCTGCTATTTTACGCTGGTATTCTGTGAGAGCGTGGTCCCACCCCGGTCGAGCCGACCCAATCATACTACAACCATGATATAGCTGTAGCGTGGCTCTACCACGTAAAATAATAGTGCAAACTAGGAAGCCTTCAGAGTTTGTTAGGGTGAGTTGTAGCTTGAGTATTTTCGACTCATCTACGTGCGAATAACTACCACTATCCACTGTTTGATGGCTGTTATACGAGTGTCTTTTGCTATTAAGAAGCTAACCCATAAGAACTTACATTGATTTTCGTTTTCATTGAATAAATTTTGCATAGTTTGCATAGTTTAAATAGCTATGTTTCGGTTTCCTTATCGTTTTGTAGCGCACGTAAAAAGTGCATAGTAAAAATTATATAACAAAATGCGAGTTCAACAACTTGCTACAGCTTATATAAGTATTTTTTTCGTTTTAAATCTTAAGCTTTCGAACTTATACAGTGTTTACATCCACTTAGTTAATAAGTCAAAACGGAACGTAATGGAGATGTAAAAGTTTACTGAGACAATTTCCTTAAAAAGTAAACAATTTAATTTCTTAAATAAAATAATAAAGTTTTTGGTGAGTAATCACAACTATTGAATTACATTTTATTGCATTTTTAATAGCATTGAGTGACAAACGGGCACACAGTCCACCTGATAGTAAGTAGATGCTGTGGCCCAAAGACATCTACATTTATCCTCGATTAAGAATTAAAACACAGGTGCGTTGTAACCACTGAAGACTGAGATGGAAAGCCTTGTTTCCAGTAAAATAGGGTCTCCGGATCTCTACACACACCAGTATTAAGCTGCTGTTTTACGCTGGTATTCTTTGAGAGCGTGGTACTACCCCGGTCGAGCCGAACCATTCGTACTAACGATAACATAAATGGTTAAAATTCACCTATTTTATTTGTATCCGGTTTTTTTACTTATTATAAGTCAACGCTTGACTATAATTCCACCCGGTGGTAAGCAGTGATGCCCTAGATGGTAAATCGCATTGTCTTTATGTAACTAAAGCCTATTCACTATTCCCTTGAAGACGCCCAGATGATTCCACTCCTCTGCTCTACCTACGCATTATAAAAGACAAAGCGTACCGTTTGGTTCTAATGCGTGGAATATCGACAACAAAGGGGTTAAAACCCGCCGACCGCCTGTTTGTATGTAATTAATGCTACCGAATGCATCCTAAAGAATACTGAGAGGCTGACTACTCTGCGCCTGTTCAAGCGCTCAAGGTTGGCTAATGGATTTGTTTAAACCAAATCAATTCTTAGTATGTCTCTCCACTGAGTCCAACGCTGCTAGGTGGCATTTTGCAGCATCATGCACGACCAAACTTGAACTTTATATAAGATAAGCTG